CACACTCCCCATAGAGTGTAAATATCCCTGTAGCACGGCAACCTCGTGTTGAAGAGGTGCTGGCTATTTACCCCCCCCTCCCCCCCACCGGCGAGCAGCGAGCAGCGGCCAGCGAGGCAACAACGGGAGAGGCTGCTATTTACCCCCCCCCCCCCCCCCCGAGGCTGCGGCTGCCTGCGCACGCGGCCACCAGCAGTCCCACGCGGCACTTTGCTGTGGACTTGAAGACCCCTGTCTCTTATACACATCTAGATGTGTATAAGAGACAGACTTTGCGCTGGACTGAAGACCCCCCTGGTTAGGGGGCTGCGCCACAACATTATTACTATTATTTTTTACTATTTCTCTACTGCTGCAGCAGCAGCTTTGCAACAGCTCAAGATTTCCCCCTGGCTAGGGGGCTGTGTGACTACGGCAGTAGGGTGGCTGATCAAGATCTCAACCAACCCTAGATCATCATCATCATCCATCAGGGTATGCTCACACAGCACACCCTGGATCTGCAGTGCTGCAACTAGGGGCTCATCAAGATCTCAGCCCCTCTACATCCTCCAATTGGTTGGCTGCAGCGAAGGCCAAGACCCTCCTGGTCTTGGTATACCTTGTGCCCTTGGAGACACCAAGGGCCAGGTATCATTTTTCTCTCTCCTTTTCTTTCCCCCACCTTCCACTGCCTCTCTCCCCTCTTTTTACCTTCCCCACCCCACCTTTTCTCCCACTAACCACTATCTTACCCTCTTTTCTTCATTTCTTTTCTTTTCTCTCCTCCTTCTTTCCTCTTAGTTTCTTGATCACTCTCCATCTTTCCCCATCCTCTTTCTCTCTTATTCTCTCACCCTCCTCTCCCCCAACTGCCACCACATCATCCCCCCACCTTCCACTTCCATCTTTTTCCCTCTCCCACCTATTTCTTTCTTCTCTCCATCACTTTCTCATCCTCCCTTCCTCCCCTACTTCGAATTTTTCTGTTTTTCTTTTTTTCTATCTCCCTTTTGATTTATAATTTCTCTTTTTCCAAAAATTCGAATTATCTTCTTCCCCACCTTCTTTTCTCATTTTCTGATTTATTTCATTTATTTTTCTATTTATTCTGAAAATCCGATTTTCTTTACGGCAACACTAAATCTGATTAGGTGTTAGTCTTTCTTGTTTTCGGCACACGTTTTGACCTCGTGGCGGTAACGAAGTGCTACCGAAATTTTCTGATTTTCTCTTACTTAGTCTTTTTCGGCACACTTCGACCCCATGGGGGTAACGAAATGCTGCCGAAATTTTTGACAAATCAGATACTTAATTTCTCCCCACCTCCTCATCCCCTTATTTACTTATTTATTTATTTATTTATTTATTTATTTATTTATTTTTGCGGCATCTTGAAACCTAGTGTGCTTACCTTGGTCTCCCCTTTCTCCTTGGCATATTCTTGACCCCATGGGGGGTAGGAAAATGCTGCTGAAAATTTTAAAAAAATAAATATTATTTTTTTTTCTTTCACATTTTGTTTACTTATTCCCTTAATTATTTTTATTATTTATTTATTTCGTTATTTATTTTTATTTTTCTCTCGAAATCTCGCTGTTCATTTATTTTTCTCCCGCCTTCCCCCCCCTTATGCTTGCTATTTTATTTTCTGACGGTTAGGGTTTTCTTAGGGTTGTTATAGGGTTTAGGGTTCTTCACCCCCCCCCTACTTCCCCGTCCTCTTCGGGCACCATGRACCCGAACCACCCCTCCCCCTTTGACGGCGCCTGCGCCAGCCTTGCTAGCACCGTCCGCCGCTTTCTACCGCGGACTTCCCCCTACGCCCTCCGCTCACGCGGACCTCTCCTGGCCCCCTCCAGTCCGGCCCGTCACCTCCCCATGGCCGACGGCGCGTCACACGCCGCCGACGTAGCGGCGACCACGGCACAGGGCTCCACACCCCTGCCGACGGACCAGGGCCACCAGCCCCAGGGGGATATGCACACCCTCCTCACCTCCCTCCTTGCGCCCATCCAGGCACAACTCGCAACCCTCGCGCCTTTACAGGCGCAAGTGACGACCCTTGCCGCCGGCCTGCAGCTACTCCAGGACATTGCGTCCTTCATCTCCTGGCTCCCAGTCCGGGTCCCCCGTCCTCCGACAGGGTGGCCACGGCGGAGCTTCCTCCTCCGCTGCCCCCGACCCGGCCATCTTGGTGATTGTCCACGCCCCTAGCACGATGGCCGCCATGAGCCAGACCCTCCCTCAGTCTACGGGCGCACCCGCCCAGATTCCAGTCACGACGGCCACGGGACCACAACCCGCTACCATGGTCTCAGTGTTTCCGGGTGCCCCATTCCTCGCCCCCCTTCGCACGACCGCAGCGCCACCTGGCTCTCCCCCCTTTGGGATGCCTCGCGCCGCTTGTGCGTCCACTTCCTCTACTCTTCCTCCTGCCACTCCTCGCTCGACCTACGTTCAAGGTCTCGCGGACGAGATTCCAGCTCCTGGCCGATCTCGCCCTCTTACGCCTTCAGCCACCCCCACCCTCACAGGTGGTCGCGCCCTCGGGCGCACCCCCTACCTCCTCTACTCTCCCTCCCATGCAGGCTCGCTTCCCACGCCCTGCACCCTATCCAGCCCCATCCTACCTTCTTCCTACTCCCGCGGTTGCTGCGACCTCTTCTACTGCAGCCCCCTCGCAGCCTGCCGTTGTTGCCCCCCCCGCTCCCCCATGCGGTCCGGGCGCACAGTCAACTGTGCCCCTTTCTCCAAGACCTGCGCCAACTTACTCAGTCGTGGCACAAGCCTCTGCTCCTCGATCCCCTCACCGCCAAAACAGTGGCGCACCACTCATCCGCTTGTCGGACATTGCCTTGTATGACGGTACAGGCATACGCGTGTCTAGGTGGTTGCGGTCTGCCACCCGCACGCTCCAGCTCATGGGCGCCACACCCGACACGTGGGTGGGTCACCTCTCCACGCGCCTACGTGGCGGTCCTTTCGAGGCCTGGAAGATTTCTACACGTATTCCCTTCGTGAGGGTCGGACCCCAACCTTCATGGATTTCCAGGCGTTCCTCGAGGATCGCTTCGGAGCCCGATACGACGTGACTGACGCCTTCGAGCGTGTCATTACTACACGCTGGTCCGACTCTGGTAGCGCTGCTGCTCTGGATCGCCACATCCAGGTCTTTCAGGACGCCCGCCTCACTTATTACGTGGCGTTCCTCCCCGAGGCTGCCCTTATCGATCGTTTCTTGGCCAGCCTTCCGCTCGAGTACCGCTCCGAGCTATGGCGGTACGAGTTCACATTGACCCCGCAGGCTTACGAGGTCGCCAGGGACCATCAGCGGATGCGGGCCCATCTTCACCCCGCCTCCTCCTCCCAGCCACATCGTACTGGTTACGCCTCCTCCTCCTCTCACGGCACTTCCCAGCGTCGTTCCCCTTTCCGCGGTCGCCCCCGGCGTTTCTGCGCAGCAGGGCCGCCACTTCTCGCGCCGCTTCAGCGCGCTCGAGTATGGTGAGCAGGACGCTGGTGCCCTGCTGTCGCCAGAGGGTGACCATAGCGACGACCTCGACCTTGGCGAGGCCGTCCACCACCACCTGGAGGACCCTACTCTCCCTATGGCTGAGCGCCTCCATCTCATCCTCTCCACCCTTTCCCGGGCACGCAGCCGCCCTGGTCATGCTGGCGCGTCGCCCCCCGAGGTCCGTCAGAAGGACCTCCCTCAGGGCTTTGTCCCTCCTCGCGGTGTCCTTTCCGCTGAGAAGCGCGCGGCTATTTTGGGTCAGCGTGGATGTTTGCGCTGCCGCTTGGACGTTCATACCTCCTCGTGGTGCCCTTACACTACCGCCCTCGACCGCCACTATGCTGACCTTTCCCGCCAGCGTCGTGCTCAGTCCCCCCCCGACGCCTCTCATCCCCGTGGTGCCTCCTAGCCACGGTGCAGTGTACACCTGCGCCCTCCTCAGTAGTGGGCTTCCCGACATCTCTGTCATGGTTCGCCCCTCTCGCTACTGGAGCTGAGGTATCGCAGGACTCGACAGAGTGTACTCAGTCCTCTGTCGCAGTACCCGCTGCGCTTCCGCAGACCATCGTCTCCCCTCCTTCCCCGCCGCGACTACCGACGCGTCGAGCCATTTGCTCAACCCGTTGCAGCGAGCAGCTCGCTACTCGCGAGGACGTTGTGTCCTCTCTTCTGGACTTGAGCATGCTCCAGGCTCGTCAGGAGCGACTCACCCTTCATGTCGCTGCCCTGCTTCGCCTTCTCACCATCTTCTCTGACCCTGATCGCACCCTCCCGATCATCCCAGTACGACTCGGGACCTCCACGAGGGTGTACTCAGCGTTGTGGAATTCCGGTTCTAAGGGCGACTTCATTCACCCACTCGTGGTGAAAGAAACCCGCTTACCCACGACAAGGTCTCCAACTCCCATCTCCGTTACCCTAGGGGATAACAAGACCCAGCGCTTCTTCGGTCACCGACCTCCCTTTCTTCCTCACTCTCGAGCCGACTGACCGTCCCCCGGCGTCTCGTCGTCACCGCTCCTCTGCACATTTCGATGTGATGGAGACGGGGTGCGACTTCATTCTCGGCACTCCGTGGTCTCGTCGGTTCCGCAGCACCGAGGCCGATTGGGCGACCAACACTCTCGTTCTCAAAACGAAGTGTAGACAAACGTATCACGTACCTTTCATAGGTACCACCGCGACACCACGCCCCGATCCTCCTCCCTCAGAGCCTTCCGTGCCCACACCATCTCCTTCTATCACTGTCACCTCGCCTCGGCAGTTCGCCCACTTCATCAGATAGGATGACGTCACCTTCTTTATGGTGAACGTGACGGATCTCTTACACTATGATCCACCCTGTTCCGATGCCGAGCTCATCCCTCTGGATCCAGATCCTCCTTCTATCTCCATGGCTCCCATCTCTACTTCCCACCCTCCGCCGTCCGTCGAGTCCAACCCGTCGTCACGCGCTGACGCTGGCGCTGAGGAATTCGCACGATATACGGCTGACCTGGAGCCCGCTGTTCGTGACCTCATCCGAGAGCACCACGACGTTTTCCCATCGTCGTTCTCGTACGCCGGCATCCCACCGATGCGTGACGTCGAGCACTACATCCAGCTTGTGCCTGACTATCGTGTTCACCACCAGGCACCCTACAGACTCTCGATCCCCGAGGCCACCGAASTCAAGCGTCAGCTTGAGGAGCTCCTGAGACTGGGTTTCATTAAACCCAGCAACTCCCCGTGGGGTGCACCCGTCCTCTTTACTCGCAAAGCGGATGGAACTCTTCATCTCTGCATCGACTACCGCGGTCTCAACCGCTACACGGTTAAGAACAAGTACCCCATGCCTCGTTCCAATGAGCTGTTCGACCGCCTAGCAGGCAACCGCTTCTTTACGAAGATTGATCTTCGTAGCGGTTACCATCAGATCCGCGTCGCTGAAGTCGATCAGCCGAAGACAGCGTTCCGATCGCGCTTCGGCCACTACGAGTTTACGGTGATGCCATTTGGCCTCACCAATGCATCCGCCACCTTCCAGAGGGCGATGAACGACATCTTCAGGGACATCCTGGAGCAGTATGTTCTCGTCTACCTCGACGATATCCTGGTCTACAGTCGTACCCTCGAAGAGCACCTCAGACACCTTCGTGACGTCCTTGACCGCTTGCGCAGACATGGCTTCTACGCCAAGGTGAGCAAGTGCCGCTTTGCCCAGCACAAAGTGAATTTCTTGGGACACTACGTGTCTGACCAGGGTCTCCACATGGACGACGCGAAGATCACTGCTATCGCGGAGTGGCCCGTTCCCACATCCGCCAAGCAGCTTCGCAGCTTCCTAGGCCTGACCAGCTACTATAGTAATTTCATCCAGGGATACGCTAGGTATTCCTATGTCCTTACCTCCACCCTCCTCCGGAAGAACCCACCTTGGGCTTGGACACTCCTCCACGAGGACGCCTTCCGCGCCCTCAAAAAGGCGGTGACATGTGCACCGGTTCTTCACCTACCTGATTTTGATCGCCCTTTTATCCTTACCACCGATGCGTTAGACTTTGTTGTAGGACCAGTACTTTCTCATGTCTTCCACTCCTCTCCTGATTCCTCTCATCCTCGTATCCCTCGCTTCCCACACCTACCCCTACCACTGCTTCCCGACTGACGCCTACTCGTCCAGCTACAGACGAGCCTTCTATTGACCATTCTCCTACCATCACTGAGGACGACACTGTCGAGTCTCGCTCAGGTGATTGTCCGATAGCCTTCTACTCCCGTCAGCTCTTGCCTGCCGAGATAAACTACACCGCTGATGAACGTGAGGTTCTCGTAGTAGCTTATGCCGCTCGACAATGGCGTCACTACTTGCACGGGGCACTATTCACGCTGCGCACGGACAACTCTGTTGTGCAGGCTTTTCTGACAAAATCGAAGCTCACTCCTCGACAGGCTCGCCGGTGGCGCGACCTATCCGAGTTTCGTTTCACCACTGAGCACATCAAGGGTGAGACTAATCGGGTCGCAGATGCCTTATCCCGGCGCCGTGACCACGACCAGGAGCAGATCCAGCTCTCTTCCATCTCGGTCACCACTATCCACCACTCAGTGATCGACGAGTTTCGCACTCAGTACCGCCACTGCCCTGACTATCGCGACATCCACGCGATCCTTCGGAGTGGCAAGACTGTCCCGAACTACTCTCTCGGGGACAACGGTCTTGTGTATTGGCACGGTTCACAGGGCACCAGAGAGCCCCGTATTTGCGTTCCCTCCACTGGACAGCTACGTGTCCGAGCAGTAACAGAGTTCCATAACCAAGCAGCCGCTAGTCATATGGGCTTCCACAAGACGTTGGCTCGTGTGAGCCGCCTGTACGTCTGGCCGAAGCGCAAGGACTTTGTGAAGGACTACGTCGCAGAGTGTCCCACCTGTCAGTAGGTGAACAGTGCGAACTACCTGCTTATGGTTTGCTCTAGCCTCTTCCTATCCCTGAGGGTCGTTGGCAGTCCATCTCGATGGACTTTATCGGTCCTCTTCGCCCTCCGACCCCCCGCAGTCATGATGCTATCCTGGTCGTCGTCGACCGCTTCACGAAGCGTGCACGCTTTGTTCCGTGCCGCTATGCCATCAGTGCACGTGAGGTCGCCGACATCGTGTTTGATCGAGTCGTGCATGACCATGGCTTACCTCTAAGCATCATATCTGACCGTGACCCGCGCTTTACCAGCTGATTCTGGCGACGACTCCACGAGGCATATGGCACTCAGCTCCGCTTCTCCTCATCTTACCATCCACAGACTGATGGTCAGACCGAGATCACGAACAGGACTCTCGGAGACATCCTCCGAAAGATTGTTCGTGACGACCAGCAGTGGGATCTCCACCTTGCCCACGCGAAGATAGCCTACAACCACGCCGTCTCGCCAGCCACGGGGATGTCGCCTTACTATTGCGACCTCGGCTATCACCCTCGTGTTCCCGCGGACTTCCTTCGACCGTCACAGATACACCCCGACACGAGTTGTCCCGCACTGGATGATTGGGTTGCACACATGACGTCGATCATGAAGACCGCACATGCGCACATAGCCGCTTCCCAGATTCGCATGGCAGTACGTGCGAACCGATCGAGGATGAATCATCCATTCAAAGTCGGTGATGATGTGCTTATCGACGCCCACCACTTATAGCTCGAAGCGGACACGCTTCGCAAGTTTCGACGTCGCTTTTTTGGCCCATGCCGCATCCTCCAGGCCGTCGGTTCTGATACGGCATCTAGCTCGGTCAGCTTCCGTGTGAAGCTGCCCAACTACCTACGCCAGACTCGTGTGCACGATGTCTACCACATCTCGTTACTGCGTCCTTACCGTAGACCGTCTGAGCGTTTCGCTGGACGACCATACGAGCGCCCTTCACCCATCATGGTGGACGGCCACGAGGAGTTCCTCGTTTCAGACATCATTGGCCGCCGAGTCACCGACGACAACCCTTCCCACGTCGAGTATCTCGTGCGTTGGAAGGGTTACCCTGATGAGGAGGCTACCTGGGAGCCCCTCGAGCACTTGCAGCACGCTCTTATGTTGGTGTGTGCCTATGACCGTGCTCGTCGTGCTGGGTTCACTGCTCCTCCTCACCCCACTGACCCTCCTCCTTCTCCCCCGACTGAGGAGACCGCTGAAGTCGAGCCTGTTCCATCTGAGGCAGAGCTTCAGCAGCAGCCGGATGCTTCTGAGCGTCCACARCGCACTCGTCGTCGTCCTGCTCGATACGACGATTGACTCTGACTTACCTTCCCACGTCYTTGACTTCTCAGTACTCCATCCACTCCAGTTTTGCTACTTCAGCTCGTCGACGTTGCGACTCTTTCTCGACGACATTCCGGACTTCTCATCGTGGATGTCATCGACAGCTTCATGGACTTCGTCACGATCAGCTCTGCCTACTTCAGACGTCGCCACTCTCTTACCACTTTACCCTGTACAGTACCCTGCTTGTGTGGCATGATGGTCTCCCTTTAGCCGGGTTCCTCTGAGTTGGGCTCTCCCTTGGTATAATGCATAGGCACCGGGACCGTAGCGTTGCCCTGGCTTCCCATCTTACGGATCTAGCTCCGACTTTCCTCCCTTTAGGAGTCATTTGCATGATTCCCTTACCCATCATCTTTCTACCCTTTGCCGGCCCTCACGCCCTAGTTAGGCAGCCCCRCATGCGTCATCTAGGTGCGCCCAATATACCAGGCTCCCTTGTTCCCTTGTATGGTCGACCCTCCATAGCGGTCAACCCTTAGTCGAGCATTACCCGCCCTGATGGTCTATCTGTTAGGGTCATTTGTTCTGTTCGCTCCCAGTTCCCTACCCTCATTGAGCCTGATGACATGTGTTTCCCCTGTCACTATGTGTGGATGCCCTTAGGAGTTTTCGACCCCTAGGCTGTATTTGCCACCCTCAGAGACCATCCCACCCTTTGGTTTGCGACACACTTCTCCTGTGACATATGGTTGACTTGTTGTTGCTTTGTTGCTCTCAGACTGAGGCTACTGCCTCTGACATTTCTAGAATTTAGATGTCCTGCTTTTGCTGTTCTTAGGACTTATACACTAGTCAGTTGTTCCCAGACTGAGGCTACTGCCTCCAACATTCTGAGATCTAGTTGTCACTACTTTCTGCTTTCCTATGACATGTATGCTAGGTAGTTGCGTCTGCTTTCCTAGGACATGTATGCTAGTTAGTTGCTTTTGCTTTCACTTAGGCTGCCAGCTGTGACATTGCTGTTTTGTGACATTTTCTATCCTAGGTTGCATCGCATGGACTCAGCATGGAGCTTGCTCCGCATCCTAGACTACTCAGGTTTTCTTTTTCTTTGGTAGAGTTCCGCTTCTTGGCGGAAGCGCGTTTGCATCTAGGCGATCCATCACAGGTCGAGGATCGTGTAGCAGACCTCTGGTTGGCCTGTGAGACCAGCCCCTTGGCCTGTTCTCACAGGCCTGTGTTCTATTCGGGGTCAGTCCAGTGCAGTCCAGGCCGGTACCTTTGTCGGTACCAGCCAGTCCAGTCCAGTCCAATCCCGTAAGTCCGCTGGGGTATACCCCAACAGTTGTCTTGCACATTTTGGAGTACGTGCGTTGGAGTCTTGCGTGGGGAGCTGCGCTGTGCATCTTGCTCCCCCCTTCTTCCTCCATCTCCATCTCTATCAGTCCGCTACAAAAACGTTCCCGAAAATTCTTCCCTTTTTTTTTTTTTTTTTTTTTTTTTTTCCTTTCGTTGTAGCGCTTTCCCGCGTGCGGACGCCATGTCATTTCAAAGTTTCCGACAAGCTGATTTCGTCGCAAGAACCTGGTGCATAGGCGGCCGGCCTGCCTGTTTTCATATAGCGGCCGCGTGTCATCTTACCCCCGCCCCTGCCCGCCAGATGAAACACCAAAGCAGTCCCGGTTTCAAAAAATACGAGTCCCTGGGTCGTAGGCCTGCTGGGCGCCGACCTACGGAGAAAACTGCTCCGCAAGGCCAGGGATGGTGGATTTCGGTGTATTTCGGCCGGCGGGGGTAGTGGTGGTTTAAAGATGATGTATCCATGCGACGCTGGACCTGGTTTCCAGCAGGTGACACATCCCACCAATGGATGGAGCAGCCCTTTTGTGAAGACCTCAATTCCAGTGGGTCTCTCACCACCACTGGGATAGAGGCCTTGCAACAGAAAAAAAAGAGAAGAACGGAAGAAGAAGAAGAAGAATAAGCCCGAGTGCTCAGATGGAGGTTCCACACCCCCCCCACCGATGTGGGGGGGGTTCCTGTCGAGGTGGCGATGATAGGAGGGGTGAGCAAAAAAAAAGAAAAAACTGGAAAGAAAAAAAGAAACAGAGCGCTCAACAGCAGCAGGGTTTCAAGTTTGGGAATGGGCATACCGTCCCAAAATGGGTATTTTGCAATCGTATCGTTGGGGAAAAAAAAGGCAAAACAAAAGGAAAGGGAAAGAAGAAAAGAAAAGGAAAGAAAACTCTTGAATACTGGGGGGAGTGTCCCACTAGCAACTGGATAGGATTGAACGCGTGAATCTGGACGCGTTTGTGGAAAGGTGCAGCAAATCCATTATTGAACTACTCCTCTGCATCTCTGCTTAAAACACGTCCAGATTCAGGCGTTGAATCCAATCCTCTTTGCTAGTGGGACCTCACCCCTGATTCCTCTTCCCCACTTTTGATAAATCTAAGTTGTGCCCTAAATCCCACAATAAATGTCCAATTCCGTTGCTCATATGATAGCTACCCACAGCTTCCCCACAAAAAAAGAACCTCCCCATTTCATGCCCTTCTTATTTCTGTCCCTCTCTCTTTTAATCAGACCATTGGTGGGTAATCCAGTCACGGAAGGTGATCCAGGCATCCTCCAGGGGTCTCTCTCCACTGCTCACCAAATGGGCAAAATGAGAATAAACCTTCCACTAGAACATGGCGAGACACACCGTGACACCGCCATATTTTTTGTCTTTTATGCATGTGGTGAGCAGTAGAGCGAGGCACCAATGTGATGGCCACCGCCTTTCTATTGGTGGGGAGCTGCGCCTGCGTGAAACCAGGTGCGGTGTCCCATACAGAAGATCCGAGCAGAAATAGTTGATGGGGTCAAAAGAAACAAAACAAGACAAATCCTTTTTGTTATAATATGCAAATGACGAGGTTGGGGACGACGGGACGTCACAATTCTACCCGGAACAGTACCAGGGCCATCACCCGGCTTCAATTTGATCAGAGGCAGGGTCCTCTCGCAGAGGCTCTTCCCCCGGGAGCCTGTGCCCAAAGGCCAGAAGGACATTCCCCAACCATAAGCCTATGCCCCCAACCTGAGGAGATAAACACACCCCTCCCCGAAATGATGTCCCACTTGTCACTGAACATTCCACCACCATCTGCGGCTCTATTTCTCCCGCTTCCAGTTCCCAATGAGGCTCGGAGAACGTGGCTATTATTCCCCCATATTGGATACCATCCTTGCCACTGTCCAATCCACCTGTAAAAGTGGAGAAAGGGAACACCAGAGGGGGCAGTCGGGAGAAAGCATTGGGGGGGGGGGGGGG